ATTTAAGGCTTGAAGTGCAAGCGAGAGAGCGGAACGAGCGACAAAGAGGCACAATCGGCCTCCGCGTTCGGCAGCGTTCGACATCTGTCTCTCTCCTACTTGAGTGAGCGATGCGTCCGCGTGGACAGCTGCTATACAGTAATACATTTCCATTTACCTCCTTCTCTATATCCATACTAAATATCTGTCAAACAAATAAAATTAAAATTTTCTTTTGAAAAATGAAACCATTCCATCAGTATTTTCTTATGACGTTGTCACGTTCAACTAGCGTCAGTAAACCGACTTTACAGACAACCGATTTTCTTGCATTAATTCCGATAAATTCCGTTCATAAGAAGAAGAATAATTCGTTTTAAAGACCTACGTATATAGAGTACGGAAAAACGCCCCACTCAAAGCAACAGAAGGTTATTTCACGTTTTTTAAGCAATGGTGCTTTATATTTACCTCTGAACAACATACAAATCCTTCAAACGTAAACCCCAAGTACTTAAGATTATGAAAAATTGGAAAAAGATAAACTTGTTTATTTTCTCATGCTTGTAAGGTAACAGAAAAAGAAAATGCAACAATGGAACTAATTTTCGAGACTGATACTTATATAACTAACATTTTCGTGATACAAGTTTCGTCTTATTAGGGTTAAACCCTATATTCTAGGAGAGGTTCAGGCATATGACGAAAAACAACAAAGTCACCAGTATTACTACATAAACAGAATGTCGGCAAAAAGGACCTATTCTTATTAGGGTTTCGTATCTCCAAAAGAAAAATGAAACCTTATGTTATCCGTTATAGGTCTCTCTCTTCACAATCCTTATTAGGTGACTCATAGGTGATCGCAGAGACGCCAGAGTAACAAAATGCATGGGTGGGATAGAGTTATGTTAGTATGCATACTTGCCTAACTTGCAGACATTAGGTGTTAAAAGTACATTCATTAAAGTCTGTGCTGATTTTTACATAATTTTTCACAGAATATTGTTAAAAGTTATTAATCAACACTGCCAGACACTTCTCACAGACGGTAATTTCTGTCAGACGCTTGAAAGTTCGCAAAAAGATAGATCGTAATTCGACTTATAGTCTGAGTCTTCATTTTTAAATATGATACGTAGGGAACTGTTTCAATAACTTTGTAAGCAACTGGACGATTTGTAGGGACCAAACAACCCCTAGACGCAATTAAAATATCGTTATAAGTGTAAGCGCGAAAATTACAACATAGATTTTAATTGTGTCTAAGGGTTGTTTGGTCCCTACAATTGGTCTAGTTACTTGCAAAGATTATTAAAATTATTCCTCAAGAATTGCAGTTGATTTCGAGTATAACGACAACAAAGGGGTCACTGTAATTTCGTCGTTATATCCAGAAGTCGTTACAGGCAAAGTTAAAGGAGATACAGACACACACTGCTTTTCAATTTTGAAACAATTTTCGCCTTTTTTTAACAGTAAATGTACATCTGGAAGTCACACTTATTCAAAAGTTTACTAAACGCAGTTGCTATTTAGAAACAACGGTAAAGGTCACCACACTTGTTGGCTATTTATGTGAATGTAAACAAAAGATAAGAAAGCTTTTTGTGTCTTTAGCGCCCGACTCCGGTCGCTATATCTGCATGGGATTACTAGGGATTTGTTACAAATGGTTCATTAAAAACAGTCGCTACACCCGAACTCGGTGTTACATCCGAAGTCGCTATAGCCACATGAATTTTATACTAAAGTATGCTTTAAATTCAAGGGACTTACATATGACGTCGCTATAGCACAATGTTCACTATAACCAAGGTCGTAATAACTGAAATCCACTGTATATTTATCTGTAGTACCTGCAAATCGGCTGTCGGCCCAAATTAGCAGGTACCTATGCATATTTTCAAAGTACCTACTAACAGTACTATATCTCACCC